ATTGGCTACCGCATCTTCGGAACAACATGAGTCGTCCATGTTTTCTACTCATGGGTGACTTCAATTGTCCCCACATTCAATGGCCTGAAATCCAACTCATGCCCGGGTATTCTGAAGTCGAATCAAAGTTTGTTGATTTGTTGCTTGAAACTGGGGCATCGCAACACATATACCAACCTACGCGCATGACGGCGCGTTCGAACCCATCGTGCCTTGATTTGATGGTGACAAATTGCGAACAGCGGTTGCATGACATACAAATCCAGGAGCCCCTAGCTAAAAGCGACCATTCCATGCTGATAGCCACTATGGAACTGAACTTGCCGAGTGTATCTCCGGTGGAACCAGCTTACAACTACTGGAAAACTGATTTCGATGGATTAAATCGAGCAGCGAGCCAAATGGATTGGTCTCTACCGCATGTTACATCTGTGGAGGACGGTTGGACAGTAATAAAGGAAGGATTGGCTTTGCTTTGTTCTCAGTTTGTGCCGTTGAAATTTCAGAAAGTCGGGCCAATCAAACCACACTGGTTCGACAAGGAATATGGTAGGCTGGCTCGGTTACGGCGAAGAATGTGGGACGCATTTCGCTTTTCTGGCTCCGCCACTGATCACGAAGCATATAAAAGACAGCGAAATATTTGCAACAAAGTGAAATTGATAAAGCGCCGGAAGTTCGAAGAAAAGCTTGCAACTGACGCGAGGATGGCCCCAAAGAAGATCTTTGCTTACGTGAAGCGCCGTTTGAAGCCAAAAGGTGACGTGTCATGTCTGGAAGACGCGGACGGACACCTGCTAACTTCCAGTTCCGATCGCGCGTCCGCACTGGCCGCTCACTTCGCTTCCGTGTTTGCAAACGACGCGGCGTCCGTACCCATCTCAGCGAGTAACATTCCTGTAGAACTCAACAGTTTGGTTTGTGATGTCGACGAGGTGCGCCTGCTACTTGCGAACCTTGACGGTACCAAGCCTGCAGGGCCTGACGGGCTTCATCCGCTAATTATCAAATCACTAGCTGCCATTATCTCGCCTGTGGTTACGGATCTATTCAACAAATCATTGTCTGAGGGCTCATTGCCAAACGACTGGAAGCGCTCGGTGGTGAGGCCGATCCCGAAAGGTGGCGACCCCAGTAAGGTGGATAACTACAGGCCAATTTGTCTTACACCCGTTTTGGCCAAAGTGATCGAGAAGATAGTAAAAAAGCGTCTAATGCATCTGTTACAATCGAAAGAACTTCTGACACCGGCACAACACGGATTCAGGATGGGATATTCTTGTGTTACAAACTTACTTGTGACGAGACAGGAATGGTTGCAAGCACTGAACCGGGGAAAGTCCGTCGACGTAATCTACATCGACTTCAGCAAAGCATTCGACAAAGTCAATCATGAATTGCTTCTAGACAGATTAAGGTCGTGTGGTGTCGGAGGATCGTTACATCGATGGATCCATGAATTTCTCGTTGGAAGAAAGTGGAGGGTACAGGTGGACGGCCATCTAACCGATTGGTATCCTTCGACCAGTGGTGTACCTCAAGGTACGGTACTGGGACCCACTCTGTTTCTCATCCACATCAACGAGCTGCCCCAGCTTCTACGGTCGCCGTGTGCACTGTTTGCGGATGACCTCAAAATTTGGCGAGAAATTAATACTCTCGATGACTGTGACATTCTCCAACAAGACCTCGACCGCCTCGCAGTATGGTCTGCTGAAGTCCACCTACCGGTCAACCCGGTCAAGTCCCTATTCATGAGTCTCGGGAAGGCTGTTCACGGACGAACGTACACCCTAGACGGCCAACCACTGCATCCCACACCTTCCGTGAAAGACCTAGGTGTACTCTGACGCTGCGACTTGAAGTCCGTCGACAACACCAACAAACTGTATCGAAACGGACTGCGCATGCTCTGGGCGCTGAAACGCAGTTTCTGCACTTGGTCTGAGGACGTCGCCACTCGCCTCTTCTCTTCCATCGTCAGACCAATGGTAGAGTACGGCTCGCCTGCATACTGTCCGATCACTCGCGGCGAAGCGCAAAAGATCGAACGAGTACAACACATCGCCACCAAGTTGATCCCCAGCTTGAGAGGCTTATCGTATGAAAACCGGTGCATGAAACTTGGGCTCTACACCTTGTCATATCGCCGTGTTCGAGTGGATCTTATCATGACCTACCGTATTTTACATCTCGGTCATTTCCCCACGCTGAGGTCGTTACTCCACTTGCGAGTACCATGCACCACACGTGGGCACAGGTACAAACTCGTGGTACCTGATCTGAAGAAAATCCCACACCCCCTGTGTTTCGAGCGGAGGGTTGTGCACGCCTGGAACAGTCTGCCGGAACACGTCGTCGAGGCCGAATCTGTGCCGAAATTCAAATCTTTGTTGAATGTACACTTCGCTAACATACGTTTCAGAGAACGGTTGCCACTTGACAACGATATCACCCACTTGTGACTCACTGTGTAAACAAGCATTTTGTGTGCTACAGAAGGAGTTGCTGAACCATCTCAGGATAACCACCGGACGTGTTTATTTTTTTTTAAAATGTTTTTTGATTATCACCCGATGGAGTTGTACAGAATTATTTTCTACTTGCTCCAAAATACAGTATTCAGTATTCTGATGAAAAGGATCGCTCGATGTTTTCCTGTGGAAGACGGGTAAGTTCGGAGCGAACAAACGCATCAGGTTTGGAACTGTGTCGCCTGAACTTTGTCGCCATGGACTTGCACTCCGATGCGAGAGGAGGGAAGAGAGATGGGGTTTCAACGTCAGAACCAGCGAGACTGTGGGCATATCGTAGTGGTTTCTTTCTACCGAATGGAATCCTTAAATGTTTGTAAGTGAGAGAAATCATGTCGGAGAATAAGAAATTCAACTATCTAGACAGTTGTATCAGCACTGTTTGGAACTGAAGAAGAGTTCATAAACCGTGTAGCAAAAGCTCGAGGCGCTTTTGCTAACCTTCGCCACCTACGGCGCCGGCGCGACATCACTCTCTCCCTGAAGGGTAGAGCGTATAATACAGACGTTTGTCTGACCCTGCACCACGGTTGTGAAACCTGGCCCATTCGATCGACAGACGTAAAGAGGCCAGTTACGTTCTACTACCGGTTACTTGCAGTTTGGCTCATAGCTGGTGGGAACACTGTGTGCGCAATGAGTGTGTTCAACGTCTCGTTAATGGCATAGGAAGAAGAAGTGAACCGCTCGGCACCGCTATATCACGCACCAGGTTGCGATGGCTGGGTCACGGGTTGCGCATGCCAGCCCACCGACTCCCGCGACGTGCGTTGTTTGCGCGCCCGCTGGTGTGGATGAAAAATGATGAAGAGAGCCCAACCAACAGTATACTCAAAAGGAATGAAGAACCTCGTCTCGGAGTTGTAATCGGTTGGAGCCTCTCATCTCCCTGGTTTGGGTCCGAAAAACGAGGAACACGCTTGACCAGCTGCATAACTGGTTCGTTGAGTGGTGATTCCCGGTAAACCGTGACAAATGTGCCGTTCTCCCGATTGGTGGCCCGAACCCTTTCGGTAGGTATCATTTTGGAGGATATCTTCTTAAATCTGTCACACTTGAGGAAGACCTGGGAGTCATGTCTCGCATGATCTCAAGACATCACCTGGCATGCTGAAGGTAGCGGCAGCCAGCCGAATGCTCTGGGCTTTGGAAAGGTCGTTCTGCAAAATTACGCCGATTTTTAGGACTTTATTCGCTTCGCATGTTCGTCCGATCCTAGAATATGGTCTGCCTGCCACTTACCCCCTAATGAAATCTGAACAGGATCTGATCGAGCAGCTGCAGAGGTGCGGTTCAAAATCTATATCGGAGCTTCTGGACATCCGCTCCTCGACTTAAGACTTTTAACCTGTTCTCCATGGAATACCGTCGCCGTCGCGTAGATCTCTACACCAGATGCATCCTATGTTGAGAGCTTATAAGTGAGCTGCAGCAGTTCTTCCATGTCAGTGTGGGCAGCCTGACACGGGGCCACAAGTGGAAATTATTTAGGCCGAGGAGAATTCGCGCTCGTCTGCAAGTTGCTCTATCTTCTAGGTTGGTAAATGATTGGAACAGTCTGCCGAAACACATATCATCATTATTATACACGTCAGCTAGAGGTGGGAAACACCTCAGCTACTGTGCCGAAACACACAATGAACTCGCAGACAGCGGAAAGTTTCAAGCGATTGCTAGACACTCATATGGTATGGCAGGGTTCTGCTGATCTTACTTTAAAGTTGACGATCTCCGAAGGAGTAACGGATACCGATAGCCAGCACACACCTTGTGATGATCCGGAACCGATGGAGCTGACAAGGGATCTCCCTCCTGCTTTCAATATTCCAGTGTAGTCATATATATATATATATATATATATATATATATATAAGACTGGCGGCATCCGGTTCCAGATTTTCGTGTCATTGTGGCCTCCATAAGACAGCCACAGGACGCCTGCGCCTACAGAGGTACTGTGGCTGACTTGCGCTATACCACCCACAGCTCCGTCCACATACCCCATATCCAGTATAAACCCGAAACAATAAGACCGGGAGGCCTGTGGATGAGAGCGACGTTTGATCAACGGAGCAGGCCCACACTGCTTCAACCTGCACAACAGCAACATTCCTGTCTATCTATGTAGGGAATCATGCGTACCAGACGTATACGGGGCAGTGACTGGGCCGTAGTCCGCTCCACACTAAGTGCATGGAACCACTGCAACTAGCGCCTACTAAAATCTTGCACCCCGCACCCCCAGCAACGACACACTATCACCTGGAGCCAGTAATCAAAGGTGGAGGGTGTTAAACAGGTAGGCACCTTGACAACATTCACATCAAGTGCAACCACACCGGGTATATCAAACAGCCAACAGAAATTAATGGAGAGCAAACACGCAAAATTGACACCGAATATGCAATGGAATAACAGAATAGAAAAAACCAACTGAACTTGAACTTTTATCAAGATTAAAAATACCTAATGTAAGTTGGTTCAGCCCAACTGCGGTGAAAAAGCTCTGTGAGTACTACGCGGCAACGTGATTTTTCGGTGTTCAAGTTTAAGTGGGACTGGAACGATAGGATGAATCCCATAAGTGTTCCTTCTTGAGCGGGTCGTCGATCCAGGAGTTGATAGGGGTGCTCCGACTTCTTGATGGGTCTAAAACGAAAACACCCTGGTCTACCAATTTAATGCCCAAGTTCCTCACATTAGCTGTCCCTGCTATATCAATTACGTGAAGTAAGGGAGGAAGAAAAATCGAAGGGAAAGAGTAAGGGAAATCAGTCAAAAGAGAATAATACCAATGGTGAGGGAAAGTACAGAAAATAGAATCGAAGTATGAAGATGGGGAATAGTCAGGAAAAAGGAAAGGTTTCGTGTTGCCACCCAAGAGCATCTAGTTGACGCTTAAAACCCTTAACCGTAGCTTTCTTGACAAAATTTTCTGGAAGCAAGTTCCAGCGCTCGATGACTCGACGCGATGACCGTGTCTCCGCTCTAACTTGATCGGATCGCGGTTTTTCCAGCTTCATACAATCACCGCGGAGACCAGATAATCTAGCAGGGCAAAATAGTCAGGACAAATTAGGGCCAACCTTCCCAGTCAAAATACGGTAGGTTAGGATTAGGTCCCCTCTAATCCTTCGATGGTGAATTGAATGCATCCCCCAAATAAGTAGGCGTTCGGGGTACGTTTGTCCTCCTAACCCCTCGACCAACCTAGTACCGATATACAACAGCCGTTCTAGTGCTATTTTGTCCCGGACAAAGCATGGTGGAAAGGCCTGGATGCAATATTCTAGGCTCTGAAGAGCTTCACCAACAGATTAGCGGTTAGGGTCCCGAAAGAACGACGGATGAACCACAACATCCGGAACGCTTTACTAACCGCTTTCTTCCAGTTGTCTCCAGTGTAGTGTGGAACAGTGGACGACACCTAGATCAACCTGATGAGTCACGTGAGGAAGTCCACTCTCATCGAGCACATAACTTGTGGAGGAATCAGACGCTCCGATACGCAGCACTGAACACTTTACCCGGTTTATGGGCAGCAACCACAAGACAGACCATTCCCAAAGTCTATCCAGAGCCCGTTGAAGAGCCACGAGACCTCCAGGGATATCAACAATATTCCAGAGCTTTAGGTCATCAGCAAACAAGAGCAATGGTACCTCAAGCTCCTCCGGCAAGTCATTCACGTAGACTGAGAACAGCAGCGGATCTAGGAGAGAGCCTTGCGAATGGAGCTTTTTCATGGAAAACAGTGAATAAAAACTTAAAACGAAATTTGATTATTGTCGAATTTTCTTTGATCCAAAATATCTTGGATCGAGTAAAGTGCTACTGGACAAAGCATCTTTGACGCTTAGAGATAATTTTTCCGGTTGATCACAGGTTTAATCCCTTTTGCACCCAGTTTTGCCTCTTTTATTGCGGTCATTATACTATTGTATACGTGTCATTATTCTGCTCTGTTTTCACATGAACATGGCTGTCTCGCTGAACACCGAAGCGGCTGTACTCCTGGATTCTTCGTTTGATGAATCTAGTGCAGCTTGCGGACAATCTACCTGTTCAGAGCCAATCACAGATTTATCTGGCGGTATGCAGCGTGACAGTTGCTGCTGCTGGTATCACCAAAGTTGTACAGGCCTACCAGCAGACCAGTACAAAATGCTATCATAATGGGTGAACTTCCTATTCAGATGTGATGAATGCTGCGCTAAGAAAGCAAAGCGCTCGGCTATCACATGGGATAAAATTTCAGCGCTGGCGTCAATATTGGCAGTTGATGAGAAAGCGGTAGTTAAGCTTGCCTCGCTCAACACTAAAGTGAATTTGATTATGAAATCTCTGAATACTGCGATTGAGAACGCTGTAACGGACTGTCCAACTCCTGATAGTCCATCTGTTGATGGGTCGTTGATCCACCGGACGCTCCAATTCACTTGGAAATAACTGACTCAGATGCCTCGGACGGCATGGTTGACCCTCCGCAAATGGAAGGCGAGTCGCGGGATCATGGGCGAGAAAAGAATAAGCGGAAGTAAGCAAAAAAGTACGCGAACCCTGCGCCACCAAAACCGGGAGGTGAGAAAACGCTCAAGATGCGAGAGCCTGAGCTGGAAACACCACCTGGTGCTGAAATTCCCTCAACTTCATTTAAGGCTGTGCAGGCAGCAGGTGAAAAATACCAGAGGTTTTCGTCGCATGTTAATATAACTGCGGAGGGGCCCACTCCAAACACCTCACCCTATCTTCCAAGCGTACAGGTCGTGGAGGCTGACATCGACATTGAGCCATGGGCTTCTTCATCTGTAGGACGAAAGAAAAATCGAAAGAGAACTGCCCGTACTCTTCAGACCGGTTCGAAAAGCGTCACGAATGATCAGTCAAACAAGCTGGAGCATAAGACGTACGCTATAGTTGTTTCAGCGTCCAGTCTCATTGCATGTGGATAAGCCGGAGGCAGCTAATGTAAATTCAAAAACTCGTGGGGTAAATACCCTACGTCGAGGTGATTGTTTCATTGATAGCAGTGTGATATTCCGTAACGCAGTGGAATCCACTGCCCTACTTCCTGCTGAATGTACGTGGTTTAAAAAGTGAGTAACGAAGCCCTTTCGCCTGGGTTTACCAGTGTTACTGTCAGGAAACTAGCTAGATTGGGTAACGGCCCAGTTAACGCCCCAAACACTCGATCGCGCTTACTTCGTGTTGTCTTGTCCACCCCGGAGGAACGCAACGCGCTCTTGCGGTTTGCTTTCAAACTGTAGGGTACTAATGTTAGCGTTCAGTCAGACCTCCTGCTAAGGGATAAGCTGTAGCTGAAAGAGGCCATCAAGTACCTCAAGACTAGCGTGGCAGCCAGTGAACAACGTCTCTGGTTGGTGGGTTTTCGGATGGTTAGCCGGTGGTCCATTTCCGCCTTACCAGTGCTAGTCTTGGTGGCGCACGACCCAGAGTTGGATATTACGAATACCTTCAGATGGTGCTAAGCAATGAGTAAGATATATCTGCTTGTAGATGGGTCTCATCCCGATATACTCGATTTCACTGAAACCTGGCTGTCTCAGGACATCAGGGACGGTGCAGTATATCTCTCTGGCTACGTAGTATTTAGATGTGATCGCTTCGTCAGCCGACAAAGCTGGGGCGTCGCGCGTTGTATTACCTATGAACGACGTTTTGCGTACCTACATGTTTCAGTCGGCAGAAAAAACTGGCGAAGCTCCGTCGGTAGTGCTTAGAGCATCTTAGGCTCAATTTACAGTTGTACTCGTGTATAGAAGCCCCGGGAGTGCGTCAAAAGAGGTGCTTGATTTCATTCGCTCCAAATCCGCACATAGGCGCTTGATACTGCGTGACTTTAATCTACCGGAAGATTGATGGACAGATCTTTCTCGCAACTCGACGGAAGATACTTTCAGTGCAGATCTTCGTGAGCTTACTCTGCAAGTACCGTTGCATCAGTTCGTGGATCTCCCCACTAATTACATGGAGGCCCAAGTAGCGTCTAGGTTGGAACTAGTTTATGCCAAGTCACTAGACTTCGTAAGTGACACCACTTACGGCTCCGCTTAGGTGTCAGTGATCATATCTGCTTACCAAACCGGCTGCGTTATGACCAGATAAAACCAGTGCATCGCTGAGCCCTATCCAAACATATGGCGTGCTAGCAGACAATGCGTATCAGGGCTTCTGGGTTGTGTTGCGAAATGTCGGTGGCCGACACGGTTCAGGCGGTCTGGGATAAATTTACGTCTTATCTCATGGAAGGGTCTACTTACATCCCGCTTACGAGGAGAAAAGTGACACGAGCACGGCCCGCTTGGATAGATACTACTGGCAAGTACCTGCTCCAGAAGCGTTCTAGGTGGCGGAGGACCTACCGTGCGACTTCAACAACTAGCACTTACGATAGGTACCGCGAGGCTGGAAATAGATGTAATCAACACTTGTGGAAAGCTTGGCTGTTGTACGAAAAGAGGGAGAGAGAAAATCCGAAGCTCTTCGGTTATATTAAGAGGCGCTGTGGTTCAAATTCGGTCATTCCAACCTCGATGCGGGCCGATGGAACTCATGCGTGTGCGGACTCGGACAAGGCTAGTGCATTTGGTGAGCAGTATGCAAAGACATTTATACGTGAGGCCATGTTGACTAGCGTTGAACTTGTACCCAGAGTCCCTGAGGGTTCTTATTTAGCTGAATATACAGTGGTGGAAACGTAAGTCCTTAGGCTGCTGCAAGGACTAAACCCTTCTAAACTCGCTTGGCCTGATTCAATTCACCCGAAGCTTCTGCACGATTTGGCGGTGGAACTAAGTGGACCGCTGATGATGGGGTTTCCGAAGTCACTTGACAGTTGCACATTACCTGAATGGAAGAAGGCTGTCCTCTGTCCTATCTTCAAAAACGGCGACGGGAGTCTGTCAGCCAATTATAGGCCAGTCAGCGTGACTACCATCGTGGTCAAACTGCTTGAAAATCTAGTGAGAGATTTGTTGGAAGGTCACCTGAATAGATTTAATCTACTCAGTAGTGCACAACACGGATTCCAGAAAGGCTTTCGTGTCTGATTACTCGTGAAGCTTGGGCCGAGGCAGTGGACAATGGCCACGTAGTGGATGTGCTTTCGTCGACTCCTCGAAAACATTTGTTAAGGTACCCCACTTGAAACTATCACAAAAGCTGAGCTCCTACAGTTTATCTGGCCGCGCCCTTCACTGGGTCTCTGCAGTCTTGCAGGAAAGAGCAGTGTGTACGCGACGATCGCTGCCGATCCTATAGGCAAGCGGTCCTTAGATGTTTCCCACAGGGCTCGGTCCTTGGGCCGATGCTGTCATCCATCTACGTGAAAGACCTTCTTTGGGAGTTGATGACCATAAGCTGTGGAATGTTGTAGATGTCCCGGGGCTTCTGAGGCCATTCAGCATGCCATGAACAGACTCTGGGACTGGTCTACTTTGTGGCTACTGCCCATCAATCGACCTAAGGGTTCCGTCCTTCGTATAGACGTTACTTTCCCACCTTCGAGGCACATAATCGGTAGGGTCGAACTCGCCCTTGTCTCCAACCAGGTAGACGTAGGCGCCGTCCATTGCTTTCTGGTGACAATTGGAAGAAGGCTGCATGCAGGGGTTTCGGAAGGTTGTGGT